GGCTTCCCTTGGTGGTGTGTCTTCTGATGTTCTTTGTGCTCTGAAGACTTCAGAGGTACCAATGTTCCAGGGCTGTGAGCTCAGCATCTGACAGCAGCAGTGTCAGCTGCAGTGGGAGCTGATGTATGCCTACAGGATGCTGAAATGTAAGGCTGAGGCTGCATGGTTGGGCTCTGCAGGCCCTGGGAGAGGTTTGCTGCTCTCCGGGAGCTCAGAGCCTCATGGAAAGGGATGGAAAGTGCTGTGGGGCTCCGTCGTTCTCCTGCTTTATTTTGTCCTGTGCATGTTTCAGCTCAGATGGTTGGAAAGGATGAACAAGGGCTTACTTGTGAGCACTTACTTTCCCTCTAATTCTTAATGTGTGGAAAACTAAACCTATGAGGATTGATTTTAATTTCCTCCAAAAAGTTGCTCCTGGCAGAATCTGATAAAGCCGGTTTTAGTCTAATTCTTCCCAGCCCTGCCCTTGGTGAGCTATCAGAGCATACCTATCTGGAGGAATTCATCTGGTGATCACCACAGCTTGCATTCATTATCTCCAGTGCCTCCCAGATCGTGGGCTGATGCACGGGGGGCCTGGAACAGTGGTCAGGCAGCATTTTGTGCAACTACTTTGCTTTTGGGGGAGAATGCCCCCCAGATTCTTGCTGTGGTTTGATTTTCTGCCCCACACTGAGCTGCCTGTTCAGTGCAGAAAGTGAACGAGAAGCAGAGCTGCTCCACAGCTCTCGTCTGCTCTGTGCTGCCTCTTTCTTTTCACCAAGATTTGCTTGTTTGTGCTCAGGGATGTCAAGTGCTTTTGGTGCTGGACTGACCTTGCTCTGAGCCCTCAGTCTGACCACGGCATGGCTGTGACACAAGCTTCTGAAGAGCAGGTCATGGTCTCCTGCAGGAGGGTCAGAATCTGGGCCAGAAATTTTGTAACATTTTAAAGAGCTTTTGGGGTACAAATTCTGTTTTTTTACCTGCTACCAGCCCAGTGAATCAAGTAGCAGCCTTCCTATGTTAGAGAGGTCTTCCTGAACAAGATGTACCCTCACCTTCCAGAATGTCAGAGGAGGAAATGCAGTGAGGGTTTAGCTTAAAGCAATTTGCACGTACTTGGTAAAACAGAATGATCTTTGTCGTTCCTGAGCTCTGAAACAAAACAGATTTCTGTGGAAACAAAAAACACCAGCTTGCTGCTGTGCTGGAGCAGAGCAATGCATTGCAGGAGAGACTTAACATCATGTTCTGACCTTTCTGGAAACAGTTGATATGGAAATATTTTTGTTGTATTTATTCAAACCTTTTTTCCTTGCATTTATTCAAACTAGGCAGTATATTTATTTGAAAAAATCAGCAGCATGCCAATCCCCAGTTCTTGGCACATCCACAAAACTAACCGTGCAGGGAACGTAATACCCTGAAATCTGTGCTCCAAGGCTTTGATCCTAATGCTATAAGGAAAGTCCTTTTGTTCTTGTTCTCTATGTAAAGCACCAGGTGTGAAGCACTGTGGTAGTTTTAGAAGATAATAAAGATAATAACATGAGGGAAGTTTGCTGGAGTCTTTACTATAATGGCTACTGCTGATTTTTTTTGAAACAGTGTTTCTCTGCTATTTTATAGACCACAATTCTCTTGCTTGTTTTTTTAAGAAACAACACAATTTGTTGTTTCTGCACCATCCTCCATGCCTGGCTATCCTCCCAGGTTCACCCAGGGGTGCTATGTGTTGCCAGGCCTCTACCACAGGCTGGAAACAACATTTCAGAGATGTTTTCCAGTGCTCAAGGGGGGGCAGAGACAGGCTGACCATGGGCATGCCCAAGTGCGTGTGATTCTCAACTCTAGGAAGCTGCTGAGTGAAAATGTCCATACAATACCTTAGCTACACCTTCAGGGTTGGATCCAGAGGTGATGAAAAAAATGGTTCAAGTCTTTCTGTTGACTTCAGTGAGCCTTGGATGAGTTCCTATTCCACAGTGGGCCACCAGGACTTTTCTGCAGGAGGTGGGAGACTGGAAAGAAGTCAAGAAAAAAGAAAGAGGAATATGAAAGGAGGGATATGAAAGGAGGGGGTTTATCTGTGCTTCTTTTCAAATGTTTTAAAGAAGGCAAGGTCCAAGCTTACCTCATGGGGGCACTTGTATTGATCAGTATCATACACGGGCAGCAGCATTTGCAGCCCTGCTAATGAAATGCCAAGTTTCTCCAAGGTCCAAAATACCTGATGAGGCTGATGGCAGCAGCAAGGTGGTTTGCTTCCCTAGGTCGTGTGGCATTGAGATGAAGCCCACTATTCAATTATTTTCTGCATGTGGCTTACAGATGCTTAAAGTCTACGTGCCAAATGAAAGCTGGAAATACCTGAGATGAATTAGAAGGCAGTTATGAAGTAGAGTCTTTGCAAAGGAATTTGCAGTCTCTGATGCTTGGTTACATTAGGTTATTCCACCTTCTTTTTCAGTCAGTGCAAATGAGATCATAACTCACACGTGCATAAAAGCAAATGGGTGGTTTAGAGATAAAAATGCATAGCTGCCTAGCTTTGATTTATATTAAAGACAGATATAGAAATTTATTAACTCCAGCATCTTGGGAATTGCATTAAAGTATTAACAAAATTAGGCAAATTATGCCTCAACCTCTGGGTGCACTGAGGCATGTATGCAGGCTTGCTTGATGGTGAGATAAATGTCAGCATCAGGCTCCACATCAAATTTAAGAATTTGTAGAATGGAGATAGCAATGTTGGAATTTACTAGAACCATATTAATTGTGAGGTCAAGTATTTATCAACCAACGTCGGGTGACCAGAAATGTCCTTGTGTTGTTGCACACTGTGGTTGTTCTTCCTTTAGAATAAGTAGTGGATCTGATGTCTTTTTAAATTAGAGAAAAGATGTACTTGGTGTCTTTGGGATGGTGGGTGAGAGAGAGTCCTGATCAAGTGTGTGAATTTACTGTAGCTTTGGCTGTCACAGTGAAGTGGCATCAGCCTGCATGGAGAGTGCTTCCTGAGAAGCACTTGAATTTCTGCTGAAGTGTCAGTGGTGGTGCTTAGTCCAAAGATAGTAAATGGATGGAAGTATTAGAAGTTTACAATTGGGTTTGTTAGGATTTGACATTTCCTTCTTGCTGCTGACGTTCATTGCCTGGGGAGAGATGTAGAAAGGATGAAAAAACAAACTTCTGATGAAATGTGAAGGCTTATAAAAATAGGGGAACATTGACTCAGTCTTTTTTTTCTGTTGATTCTGAAGAAAAAAAAGTGAAGATTATGAATCTGGATAACTCATGAAAGTCTTTTTTTTAGAGCAAGGGGCAGCATTTCTTCTGTTTCTTAGTGCAAGGTTGAACATTGCTTTTTGGGGTTTTTGGTCTATCTTGAAATGGAGGTGGGCTCAGGAAAACTCAGAGGTGGCTGTTCCTGCCACAGGCTCCCCCCACTTCCCACCTCTCAATGAGGAGCATCATTAATGGCTTTGAAACCCTACTGGTCCCAAGGGACTTCAGCTACCTTTTGTCTGTCTGTACCAGTCTTGCAGCAGGAAAACAGCCCTTTTCAGAGCACCTCTGATGCAAGCTTTTAATCACCAACATCTAATCTTGTAAGTTACATCCATCTCTCTCCACACTGGTCTGAGCTTTTCCATTGTGGAGCAAGTTACCTCTCTCTTGCCAGTTCTTTGTGTCCCTCTGAACACAACAGGGACTGAAGGATTTGGAAGCAGTGCAGTAATTTAAAATGATCACAGCTGTCAATGCATATGCCAATTTCCATTCTAATGGATCTTCCAGAGCTGCTACATATATCAATTGGAGTTTTTCAATTTCCAAATGTATTCATAGACTGGGAAGAGCTTGGGCTGTAATTTATTTCTTAGGAAAGATACTGATGGAGTGGCTCCAAAGCCAAAGGAAGAGGCCTCAACTCTGAAAAGAAAGCAGAGCATTTGCTGTTGAGAGATGGTTGAACCAGTGTGTTTGTACTCAAGGATTAAACCAGGATGCTTGTGACATAGCATGTAATGACTTGCATAACATGTAATGAAGGAATCGAAGCTGAGTCTCTGGGTGTATCATGCTGAGTAAGAGGCTTGTTCTACACGAAACTGTCATATTAAATTCTTGTCGTGATTCCAGACCCCTTTGATTCCTAAATCTTTTGGAGGAGACTAATCTGAAATCAAAGTGCAGTTGCTTGGGGTTTGCATGCCAGAAGCGGTCACATTTGAAAAAGTTCAGTGAACCTGCAGAGGGAGGTTGAAATTAGTTGCTTCACTACAAAGCTTGCAGCTAACATACCTGCTGATTTGCTTTGTGCTTTGATTCTCTGGGCTCTGCCTTCTTGCCACCTTCTGAGTTGTTTTCAAAGTGTATAAATCTTAAGGATGAGTATGTCCTGGTTTCAGTCTGTTAAGTTGGAAAAACATTTTAAAAAGTGACTCAGTCTACACTGCTGAAACAAACATGAGTTTGAATACCAAGGACATGGAAAGGCTGCATTTTTCTCTTCTGCCTTGTCCTTTATGCAGTCACTTCCCTCTGTGAAGGTGTAGATTGCACTTTACTCTCCTGATTTACCAACATTTGACCTCCCTTTGTACCAAGGTAAATGGAAATGGTTCCTTTCAAGTTCTTCTATGTAGATACTGAGGGCTCCTGCCTTGATGCCTGTAAGATGACTCTGCTCCTTTGAAACCACTGGAGCAATGCCAGGAATCCAGCCTGTTACCCCTGCTGAATGTCAGCTGCTTTCTCTATTTTGATATTAGCATTTTGGGGGGGCTTTGACCAAGACTATTAGGCAATATTAAGTCCAAATGGGAGCATTTCCAGCGGTGAAATCCTGCCTTTTCCTACCCCCCTCAAGCTTTGTGTGGGCTGCTGGGGGCCTGGGGATGTGCTTTTTGGTCCAGTTAACAGATAATGCCCTAGGCAGCCATGGCCACTGTATATCCGTGTAGACGGCCCTGCTTGAAAGCTGATCTGTTGTTACTTTATGTTTACAGTGTTCTGTCTCCTGTGGAAGGGGCCAAAAGCACCGCAGTCTGTACTGTTTGTCAAAGGAAGGGAGGCATGTAGAAGAAGATTATTGCAAGCACCTTGCTAAGCCCAATGTGCAAAAGAAATGCAGAGGGGGCAGATGTCCGAAGTGGAAAGCAGGAGATTGGGGACAGGTGAGACACGTTGTATACCCCTTTGCACCCTTTTGTATCCTTCCTTGGTCAGATTGGCTAGAAGCTGGTTTTCCCATCACTTCTGTCCTCTTGAATTTTTCAAGGGTAAAATTCTGGGGGCAGATCCTCAGGTGGTGTCAATCAGTGCAGATTCGTGGATAGCTGTGGAGCAGCACTGATCTGTACCAGCTGAAAACATGGGAACTTGCTTTTAATGTCTTATCTGAAAGCAAATTCCTTGTTGTGTGTTTTAAATTTCTGCTAGAAGAGGCATTAGTACATTATATTAAAGATCATTTATTCATGTTTTTAATATTGTTATTATTTAGCTATGTTACATCCCAAGCAAAATCTTCCTTAGTTTGGAGAAATCTGAAATTAATTTTATTATCAACTCTCAGGAAAGCTTAAAGAGCAATCAGAGGTGCTCATTAAAAATGCTTTTCACTACCTTCTGTTTCTTAACAAGCTCCTCACTTGGTTTTGCTTCATTAAAAAGTCAAGACACTTCTGTGTAGAGCAGAGGCTGCAGGAAATGTGAAAGTGCTTGGAGTTATTAAGCATCTGGCTAGCTGAAGCATACCTTGACTCCTTGTTTTCCTGAAAATAATGTCTTTGTCATCACCTTGAATCTGCTGCATCACATTTTTATCTCTGAACCTTACTTTTCCCTCAGCCTCATTAGTGTGCTAATCAGCAGAATTATTGAAAATCCCAGAGTCAATGAACTGTTAACTTGTAAAACACCATGTTCTCTTGCTGTCTGTCTCCAAATTAAGGTACAAAACACCAGTTACTCACTGCATGTGAGTTCCATGAAGGATAAACCATTAACACCTTTACTAGGGCAGCATCCTGGTTTCTAATGTCAACTATGGAAAAAGACAGTAAACCCCTTGATGTGCTATGATTGTTTTCAGACTTGCATTTGTGGTTTTTTGAATGCTTACCTTTGAATTCATAGAATAGGGGTGTTTGAGGACTGGGTGTTTAAGCTAAGTGTGTATTCACCATGGAGGTTCAGTTACTGAGGTCTGGCTCTTTTACCCAAGGTATGGGAGCACCCAGGTGGTCCTGTGAAGTGCACAGTACTGCTCCCATATTGGAAATGAAGTCAATATTACCACTTGTATTACCTGCAGCACCTAAACCTGCGTTTTGTACAGAAACCTAGACTGAAAAGGGCTCTAGGCTATGAGATAGCCTTGCCATTTATTATTTGCTGCTAAGTTAAAGTAACTGCTCCTGAAACCAGTTTTTTACAGCTGATAATTATAAATGTAACAGTTTGTTGATTGTGTTAAAATGCACTAATGGGAGTTGATAAACGTGGTTTAAAATCCTCAACGTTCCACCACATCATTGCAGTTCCTTTTATGCAAGTGGAGAAAGAAACCCAAGTTAATAAGAGGATGAGGTGATTTATGGCCTGAGGTAATATCTTGTGCTTAGGCAAGTAAGGAATATTTGTGTGTTAATGATAAGACCAAGACCAGGCAGCCCTTTTCCAGCCTGTGGGGTGGCCCCACAGCCCAGGTCCCTGATGCTGTACGTGCTGAGCCAGCCAGTGCCCTAACTGGGAAAAAATAAAGGGGTCGAAACACCCAGAAAGAGCCATTCTGCAAGATCAAACTGAGCTTTTCAAAGACCCATGAAATGCCCTGACATGCAACTTGCATCCTGATCCTCACTCGTGCTGGCAGCATTTTCTTTGCCAGTGACAGATGAAGAGCTGGGGCTGCCAGGCATTTGGAGCACTGGCCATCCTTGCAAGAGGTGCATGGGGCTTCCACAGCTTTCCAAAAGATTTAATACCTCCGAGCTGAGGTGGAATTAGATGCTGAACTTCTCACTGAGACTAGGAAACATGCAGGGCTTTGGCACTCTGAATACCCAGTAGACCAGGATCTAAATGGGAGCGAGAACTCCGTGTCAACCTTCCCTGTCACCGGTGACACTGTTGCAAATAGGGAGCCTTGATCAGTTTGCACTTAGATACTATCAAAAAGAGGTTTCTGAAGGTCTAATTGCTTCCAAAAGATAATCCCAGTGCTGAGCTGCTCTGAGCTGGCTGCCTTTTGTCCTGGGTAAACCAGCGAAAGTCTGTGTGAGAAATAAAACAAGGTTTTCTCCTAAAAGTGCATCTGCCTTGACACCATATAAACACAGAACCCTGTTGCATGAGCCTTGAGGTTTTTGGTTGTTAGTTTGTTTGGGGTTTGTTTTTTTTCCTTTGGGGAGAAGTAATGATTAAAAAGTTAGGATTAAAAATATAGGACTGGCTAAAAAGCCAGCTGAGTCGTGTGCTTTGCCCCCAGTTGTTTTTTTCTCTGGAGGTTTTGTATTCAGAGGCCAGGTAATTCTTCTCTAGATTGTTATGAATCCACTGCAGGAGGAAGCACCCCACAGGACATGCCTCCATCCTCTGGGAAGGCTTCCATAGCCCCAACTCACCACCTTTCTCCCAAGCAGGGTGCAGCCTTTGCCCCCTCCCCAGCTGAGCTCCAGCAGCAGCAACACCCCAGTGTGCCCGGGCCATCCCCCCATTGCCCCGCTGTGCCCCAGGGCTGGGCTTACCTGTGGCTTCATCTTCTCTGGGTAGAGTTATGCTGGTGTTCCTCTCTTCCATGGCCACCCGTGGCATCTGGCCACTAAGAGCACTTAGGAAGCCTGTTCAGCCAGGAAAAGCCTCCCTTTACATATCCTCTTGTAATTAGCCCAAATAAAAGCTCTTTGCTTGCTCGCTCGAAGAGGGGAGGTTCAAATTTCCTCCGAGGGATGGTCCAGGACACGGCAGCCCTGGCCTTGGGGTCCTGGATAGGGCTTGCTCCCCCACTGTGAATTTTCCCACCAATTTGGTGAGAGTGCAGCATTTATCCTCCTGGACTTATGCCTCCTCCTCCTCCCTGTCCCTGCTGTGCCTGGCTGTCCCACCCAGCTCAGCTGCCCCCGGTGAAAGAGCCACGGCAGGACTTGCTCTCCCGTATCATAACATACCCAGGCATGTGCTTTTTAAGATGGGTAATAAATGCAAACCAAAAGGCATTTGAGAGCACAGTGTGCACACTGCTGTGTATGTTTCTCCAAGTTTGCTGCCATTATTCAATGTAACTGTCCCCTATGGGATGCATGGGACAGACAGCGCCGTGAATCACGGGCAGGCAGCGCAGCAGATGGGAAGCGTTTGCATCCCCGGTGACAGAAATCAACTGCTACTTTCCAAAGTTATACCCCAAAAAAACCCAAACCCTCCCACCCTCTTACAAATCTCTGAAGCCAGGCGAATATTCACAGTCAGCTTTTCTTGGGTCCTCTTGGCTTTATGGGATAGTAAAGCAAAGGGAGCATTATGGAACAATGCTCTGCAGAGAGAGAATTGCTTCCCCGTTAGGCACCGCTTCCTCCCCTGCCTTCAGAAGGCTCGTTACTCCAGAGAGTGCAATAACAGGCTGTAAACTTGTTGTCTTAGTTCCTGATGCATTATTAAGGGTGTGATATTAATTGTTAGCTCAGCAAATGGCTAATTATCATAGCTGTGTTTTAAATGCATACCTTTGATCTTTACATGCTTGCTTCTATAAATGTGAATTCTTTTTATTCCAAATCTGTATCGTATGCTCTTAAGATGTAGCGAGGAAGAATCTACACCAGAGGGACACTAAGTGCTGCTGAGCATATTACAGGGTGCAGTCACAACACTAAGAAATGTTGCACGAAAGGAAAAAGCTGTTAAAAGCATTGTAGTGTAGCTAAGAATGTGAAGCTGTCTGAGACACAGAGAGATTCCGGCTTTTCTTGCTGTGCCTACGAGTGGGGAGAAACATGCCCACAGTGTAATGAAGGAGATGTGAGATGCAGTTAATTTACAAAAGACGTGTATTTTCACAAACGAATGGCATGCCCTGGCAGGTGTGCATGTGTGTGTTCAGCTGCGTGCTGAAAGAAACCCCAGCTGTGTCGTACCTTTATCTGTCTCCTGCTACAGACTTTCCTCCTTATCATTCAAGTTTGCTTTTAATAAGACCCACTCCAGTGACACTGGTGGCATTTGATATATTTTTGAAGTATAACTTTTTTGAGCCAAGTGTCTGAGGAGTAACACCCAGAGCCTCGCTGTGCCTGGGGTGCTGTGATGGTTC